TGAAGAAATGAAGAAAGAAAATGAAAAACTCGAAGAAGAAAACTTAAAACTACAAGGAAAAATAAACGAGATAGAAGGAAAGAAAATCACAGAAGTAAATAATAAAGAAGAAAAAATCCGAAGTATCCAAGCTAATAAAAAGAAGATTGAAAAAGAAAATGAAGAAATGAAAGAAGAAATTGAAAAGTTGAAAAAGAGAAACAAAACGCTAGAACAAAATGCAAACACACTAGAAAAGAAAATTGAAATGATAAAGGAAAATACTAAAGAATTAAAGAAAGAAATAAGAGATAAAGAAAAACAAATCTCTGAATATCAAGAAATTGCAATTAAAAACCAAGAAATTGCAGAAATAACAAGAGAAGAATTAGACAACACACAAAAAGAAAATGAAGCACAAAAACAAATAATATCAAAACAACAAGATGATATTGAAAATTTTATTTCACAGAAGGAATTAGAGAAGAAGAAAACGATGACACTTGTGATAAATACACAACCAGTACTGAGGAAAACATCATCAAGAACGATGGAGATGAACGAAACTACTCCTATGAAAAAGACAGTAGTGGAAATCGAAGAGAAAAGCAAAGCACTGATTGTCAAAAAACAAGAGATGATAATCAGACAAGAAATACAACAAAACAAACAAATAGAATTCTAATTGAAGTGATGTATTGTTTTGCAATTAATTGGTTGAATAAGAAATTATATAAGAAATTAAGATGGGAACAAATTGAAAGTATAATAAAAATGATAAACATCAATGTCAATAATGAAAATGAATATATTAAATATATTAAAATGTCACATAAAATAAAAGAAAGTACTAAACAATACATTAAAATGAAAGTAAATGATATAATAGAAGGAAGAGTAGAGTGTAATTCAATAATAAAAAACATCATATTAAAGAATAACTCTACAGAAATTGATGAAGAATACCTTAACACTCTCATCAATAAAGTAAAAGAAATGAAAGTAGAAAAATGTTCAAACATTAATTACTACTTTCAAAGAAAAGAAGCTGACCGATTAATAATGGAAATTAATAATAGATGGGTATTGTCAGGAAGCAGAATGCAGGATCTGCAAGATGATATGAAGAGGATTTCAATGGTTATGCACCTCTATCTCCAAAATAAAATAATAAGAGATAAATTTGATGAAATAAAAGAAATCCTAAAGAAAATTAATAGACTAGAAGATTTGGTCAAGGGAAGAAAATGGTACAGAATAAAGTGCATCATGAAATTAAAAGAAAATGATGAAGAATGAATAAAAGTTAAAGCACTAGAAAGAATAAAGTACCTAAAATATATGATGACAATAATAAAAGAAAGAATTAAATTTAATAAAAATGAAATAGTCAGAATCAATACAAATAAAATCATGTTTGATTCTAACAAGAAAATTAGAATAAGGAAGAAACAAAAAATGAAATATACCCAAATAACGATATTACTTTAGAATAATGGAAATCGTTATATGAAACACAGGTGAGATTAAATAAAGAGAATTGGAAAATAAAACAAATCACCTCATGGAATGAAAGATATAGAAATTATGATAATGTCATTATAACAATAAATGAATTAAATTTAAGTATAATGAAAATAAGTAACTGGAAAGCACCAGGAATAGACACTATATATGGGTATTATTGGAAAAGGATGTCATCATCAAGAGAAGCCATTCTTAGTATCTTTAATGAATGGTTGAACTTCCCTGAAAACATCCCATTAGACATGGTAAGTGGAAGAACTTTATTAATCCACAAAGTGATAGGAACGACGTCACTAATTATCGTCATATCAGTTGTACAAATGTAATTATGAAAGTATTTACCTCCATATTAAAAGAAAAGATTAACAGAAGACTTAACATGAATTGTGAATCATTTAAAATTAGTAGAAATCAATTGGGATGTAAGTTACAATCTTTAGCTGCTAAAGAATGAATAATTAATAGTTATATGATGAAGCAGCAGAAAGAAGAAAAATACCCAAAATATGTGGAGTCATATTATGACATTAAGAAAGCATATGACACAGTAAACCACGAATAGGTAATTGAATCATTAAAGTATTTTAATTATGAGTGTGTCATCATTGACATTATTGAAAGTATGATGACTAGATGGAAGATATTCATCGGCTATAAATATAATGAATATCTAGGATGTATTAAATTAAATAGATGAATTTTACAAGGTGATTCCTTATCCCCTCTACTCCTCATCATTCAGATGAATATAATTTCTCAAATCATCGAAGAGAAATTCCCAAAAGCAAATCATACATTATATATGGATGATTTGAGAATAATGACAGAAAGTAGTGAAGAAATGGGAATAATCCACAACGAAATTAAGGAAATAATAAGTGGAATAGGGATGGAAATGAATGAGAAAAAGTCAGGAATGGTATTAAAAAACATTAAGAAAATACCAAATGGAATGCAAAACATCCCCGTAGTTGAAGGTGAGGACTTGTATAAATACTTAGGAATATGGCAGTCCGACGAAATTGATGACACCTTCAATTGTAAAACCATCAAAGAAAAATGAATCAAAAGATGGAAGAAATAAACACTGATGAAAGTAGTAATAGAAGATATATTACTAGAATAAACACTGAAGTAATCAATATCTTCAGATATTCAGCATCAGTTGTAAATTGGAAAATAACTGACCTAGACAAAATTAATTTAGAGATAAGAAAATATTTAAGAAAGGCAAAATACATTGGTGAAACTCCAAAGATAGGTTATATGTCCCTCTAGAAGAAATGGGTGAATGATTAATAAATATAAGTGACGAATATGTTATTGAAATAATTAGAACAGTGATGTACTACTGTACCAGAGAAAGTGAAATAGGAAATAACATATTAGAGAGATGGTACAGTAAGAAATGAATATTGAATAGAATTAAAAAACAATAATTCATAAAATCCCAGAAACAAAAATAGAAGAAATAATAAATGAAGGGATAGAAAAGAAAAAAGAAAAAGAAGTAGTAGTAGAAATAAAGAAATTATTGACCGACCAATACATCAAAAAATGGAAGTGTCATCAAATTAGTGGATATTTTAGAAGATGGTTCGAGTCAAAAGGAGTAGATAAAACTACTACAGTGAAAGCATGGAAGTCCATCAATATTAAGAAAAATGCATTTCTACAATTAACTAAAATGCAAGATGGTGCAATATTTTGTGGGTATAAGAAAGCAAAAATAATGAAAAATGAAAGATTGAAATACTCAACACTTTGTAAAGACAAGATAGCTACAGTAGAGCACATTCTACTATCTTGTATTGGTCATAATAATTCACAAATGGAAAAACATGACAATATATGCATTATAATATTGATTAATAAGAAAATATACAGGAAATATTCAATATAAAACCTCCATATGAAATAGTGTTCAAATATAAAGACATTACTATGATATTGAACAAACAAATAATGCATAAAAGTAAATGACAATACCACAAAATACCATATATATGTAATAGATAAAAAGAACAAAACTAATCTAATATTTGATATGACTATTGTGGCTGATCACAATATTAATTGAGTCTATTGGAAGAAAAGAAATATGTATAAGGAATTAAAGAATAGGCTAATGAAAATAGAAAAATTAAAAGATGTCAGAATAATTCCAGTAGTAATCTCAATTAATGGATTAATGAATAAAGAAAGTAATAAATTAATTAAAGAATTAAAAATTGAAATTGACATCGAAAAAGAAGTAAAAAACCTTGTAATAAAAAACATGATGGATGTCATGGAATACTGCTTCAATCACAATCAAACATACTCGATATAGCTGTTAGAAGAAGAAGACGAAGGGACGGGATTAGTCTCCCCTGAGCCAGGAAGAATAGAATCTATTTCTATTAATACTTAATTAATTGATTTTATTTTATGTTGTATGTATTCTTGATATTGACATTCTTTCTTTGTATGTTAAATTCGTATGTCTTGTTTGCTTTTCTTTACAATACAAATTGTTATTTCTCAATAACAATTTGTTAAACAGTTATTATATTTCCTGAATTGGAAAAGGAATTTTGAAGTTCAAATTGAAATAAAATAAAGAATGAATGAGATTAGAATAGGATGAAATAATGATAGTATCAAAGTATTTTGAGATTATGTTAATAGTTTTTATTAATTTAGAAATATGAATTAAACAATTTCAAGAGAGTTTGGAATAATATCATTTAATCCAATTCCTTTGAATCATTATTCAAGAATCTTATTTGATAATATTGAATCATTTCATGTTTATAATAAAAACAATATAATATTTGAAGATGGAGAAATAAATAAAAAAATAATATAGTATGAAATAGAATGTTCAACATATTTAAAAAAGAAGAATAGAGTAGATGTGAAAATATAGAAATACAAAATATGATAGAATATTGAAACATAATATCAATAGAAGTTAAATCAAATGAAATTGACTTGTTTTGCATATTATTATTCTTTAATAAATACTCTATCAACAATTAATAAAATAGAAAATCATTGTTTTTATGAGAAATTTTCACCTTCATCTCTTAATCTTTCAATAACAATAAAGTCAGTTGAAAAAGAATATTTCTTTGTCTATTCTTCCAAACTAAAAAAGGATAAAAAAATTTCATAAGTGTTTTTAAATAAATAAAAATTTTTGTTATTCAATTTTTTGTTAATTTAGTAAAAATTGTTTAAAATTACACCATATCATCTATAATATGTTTGAGTAAATCAATGGTTCTTCTTCACAAATTATTCCAAATAATATAATGTTTTTGTTTTGTTACTTTTTCTGTTAATGAACATATAAAGTCATATACTTTAAAATAGAATTTAAACAAGTCTTTTATGTTGAACCAGAAATAAATGGAGTTACTATTATAATAATAATGGAAGTAATTCTTTTATTATCGTCTTTATACATAAAAAAGAAAGAACTAAAACTCCAAAAAACTAAAATAACAATGTTAAAGTTAATTCCATTAGGAACATCAGCTGGACAATCCACTATATATCGAAATGTTTGAATTATTTTAAATAAATAAATTAACTAACTTAATGAACATTAGACAACATCAAATTTAATAGAAATGCAAAATGGTAGATTTATCTTAATTGATTGTGGAGATGTTTGTCCTTAACAAAGATTATAAGTTTGAGAAAAATGAAACTAATAAATTCAAGGGAATATTAAACACAATAATCAAACTAGGTATTAATGTTAAACGTATAGAATTAGTATTAATCACTCACCTTCATTCAGACCATGTATCTGGAATTATTGCTTTGTTATTTAATTGGATATTAAACGACTGTGATGTATATTTACCTGAAGGAGGAGATGATTTGATAGAAACATTTAAACGAATATCAAAGTCATCAATTAATGAGAGTATAAGAATACACCAAATACCAAAAGGAGATCATGATAAAATAATTACATTATCATCTGGTGTATCTGTAGGTTGTATAGAAATTCCACATGAAATTGAAAGTCATGGATTTGTTTTTAAAGACCAAAGAGGTTTAGTAGTTTGCGTATTAGGTGATACAAGTGGAAGAAATTTGAATTTCCTATATAAAGTACATGTTTTAGTTCATGAATGTACATTTGGAAGTAGTTCTGAAATCAAATGGGGTCATTCTAATTGTAAGATAGCTGCTCAATGTGCAGAAAGTGTTTATGCTGACTATCTGTTACTCAACCATTTTTCTGTTAGATTCAAACACCCACAACAATTCGTAAATATTGAACAACAAACATCCCAACTTACTGAAGCAGAAGTCATAATTTTGAATGACTTTGAAACTTTTGATTTAAGTTCAGTACCAGTTAATTGAAATATTAATTGGAGTATATTTTTATTAAAATCCTATTAATTTCATTAAAATAATTAATTGCTGAAACAAGTTTATTTATAATTAACATTACTTGTTATAATTATTTGTAAAATTAAAAAATAAAAGATCTTATGCTAATTATTTCTAAAACTTGTTGAAATACTTGAAGTCATAAAAAAGTAACTTCGTTTTATTTTAAATTTGTTTTATAAACTCGTTGTTTGTTTTAATTTATTAGAATAAACTACAAAAATGGTATATGTAGTATGAAGAAGTTTTACTAGAACAACGACTCAACAGAATATCTAAATTATCTAGTTTCATGAAAATGGATTTCATTTTAGAAGAACAAGACTAAACCTTTCATTAAACAAATGAATAATGCAGTTAGAATTTTTTGCTATGACTAAATAAAACTACCATTAATAACATATGAATCAATGTAGATAAAAATAATAGTAAATACAACTGTTATTGGCATAATTAATAAAGGCAATATATTCAATTAATAAAAAGAAAACTACATAAAAGTCCTTTCTATTATGTGTCATTTTCACAAATAGAATTATAAACAACAAAACAATCTTTTGTTTTAATTATTAAATAAGAAAAATAATTAACATAAATTAAACACAAACACCTTCTGTGTTGAGTATAACGGTTTAAAATTACCATCTCAAAATATTGAAAAGCTAATATATCAGAAATAAAAATGACTTAATATTTTAAATGAATTTTTATATGATTTTAAGTTAGTTTATTAATACAAATAGTAAAATAATTATAATTAAAATAATCTTAATAATGAAAGAAGAAAAAAATAGAAATAAAAACAACTTAAAAACAATAAGTTAATATATCATAATAACAAATCAAATCACATCGCATTTTTATGATCTATTTTGAAATACAACTAATAATAACTATTATCTAATGAACAATATCACCCTATTCTTAACCAAATCCTCCAAACAAAAAAATCTTTAATTTTATAATGAAAAAACTTGAATCTGACAAAACCCATCACCTAAGATAATAAAAATAGAACCAATAATAAAATTATAAGAAAAAATATTATTTATTAAACTATAACGTGGCATGACACGGAGATTGAGTAAATTTACAAGAAAGATTGAATCTTAACAAAATCATTCATGAATAACATGCATAACTCCCAATCAAATTCTAACATCAACTTTAATGAGCTTAAACGAAGGTATTGTCAATACAAACCCCAAATGAGAAAAATGAATGAGGAGTTTAATTACTCTATGAATTTAAAAAGAAGAATAGACAGTTCATTATTTTCGTGGAAGCACCCAACAACAGATAGAAACGATGAACAAGTTAATGACTCTTATTCATGTAGTAATGAGTCTAATGAAAAAGCATTAATATTATATGAAGACCCATTAAAAATAATAAATGATACACTCATAACGAAACAAAATAATTGTTCTGTTCCTATGAGCAATGAAATTTTTATGGAACTATGTTAGTTCCAAAGCATTATTTTATTTATATTTGACTGAATTGAATTGATTGTTTTTTATTTGTTTTCTTTGTTTTACATTTCAATAAAGAACCATTTTAAAAGAGTAAATTAGGTTTGTTCATTACGAGGACTTGAATCATTATCATGTTTAAAATGAACAGTAGCCTTTCTTGAGTTAGTAAAAGTTTGCCGAGTTTTAGGGTTTGTTCCAATCATAGAAGGAGACCTAGCAACAAACCCATGAGTTGTTTTATTTTGTTGTAGTGTTTTGCTTTGTTGCGGTGGAAGCCGAGGTTCATGTTTAGGTTCAGTATTATTTGGTTGTTGGATCTGTCGTTGTTGAAGAGAAGCACTGACTGTTTTTGCTTCATCACATCCTTTTTCTATTTTTCTTACTTGTTGTGCTTGTTTTAAAATAGCACTTGGATCAAACGAGGAAGGGTGTTTTATTTTTACAGTATCTTTACTATGCTCTGTGATATTATTGTCACTTTGAGAACCAATAGCAAAGGTTTTTCTTCCAACACTTGGAAGAGGTTGGCGAGCTTGTTCAGGAGGACATGAAGTTGCGGCTGGAGGAAGAAGGACCATTGATTTTCTCATTGACCCAATAGCAACTTTTCTTTGTTTTGTAACATCAGGTTTAGAGAAGAATTTAACTTCAGTCTCATAAGTAGGAGATGTAGTTAATAATGGTGATTTACAAGATGGTGATTTTGATGAAGGTGATTTATTTTTTGAATTTGACAATGAATCAGGAACTTCAACAACACTTCCTTGACGTGAACCATGGCTGTCATCAGGAGAAATTAATAATGAAGCCATGTCTTCATTGTTCTCAATAAATTGTTCCATTTTTGATTTTGATCGTCGTTGTTCTACTTTTGTTTCAAGACATTTAGGAAGAGAATCTGATGATTTACGTAATGAAGGAATTGTTCGTTCTTTCTTTACAATGGCGGGATTCCAGTTAAACTTTGTTGTTTTATTAACAACAGGATCAAGGAATAAAATCCATTCAAGAAGAACCATTTCTCTATTATTTTTACAAATTCTATTAATTTCCTTTTCACGATTATCCACACTTTGTAAGAATGCATCGGGGTCTCTAAGTTTAGGTAAAATAAGCATTGCGTAAATACAATATGATAATGAATATGATGGAATAATGAAAGTTTGTAGTTGACTTGAAAATGAATGGGTTATTGTGAATGAACCTGCAATTCGTGGTTGAATAACAATACTATTTGTTTCTAATTTTTCTATTTGTTCGTCTTTTTTATTCCAATAGAGATAATAATCGTACAACTCTCTTGGAGTTGATTGAGTTAATTGAGGACAATCAAATATAAACTCTGTCCTAAAGTCACTACGAACAAATACAGGAGAATTATCGAAAATTCTGTATTGTCCTAAAGACTTCATAAAACTTAAGAAAAATTCATCTTTTGTTGTGTTACATTGAATATAAATATAAATTCGTGTTTTAGATGGTATTTGGTCTAAATGAGTTAAATCTTTAATTAACTGTTCTGTTGTTTGCAAAAATACTTTTGTTCCAAATGCACTTAAATTTCCATGAAGAATACGTCCTCCAATAAGTGGATTAATAGCCGACGGAAGTATTCTTTTAGGAATTGAAGTAGGCATAGAAATAGATGTTGAATAGTCTGAAGGAATTATTACAGACGCTTCTTTCTTAATAATATTTTCTAATGACAGTTCAGGACTATATTCATAAAATGAAGAACTTGCTTTATCAATAATCCATTTATGTATTATTGAATATGGTTTATCACAATATGGAGTATTTTCAAACTTACTACAGTGAAGAGTATTATTTGTTTTAAATGAGTAAACTCTTTTTCCATAACTATCTCTTAGGATAACAATAGTATGTAATGCATCTGTTTTGTATGGAAGATCAATAATTGTCATAAATGAATCATTAAGCATGCATACATGAATATATTTCATTGGATTTTGAATACCATTTTCTTTTAATAAACGAACCATCTCATTTTCATCAGAAGTTTCTTTCTTGGTTAATGAGTTCAAATACAATTTTATGAAAAATGTTGCATATTTCTTTAAATTAACTGTTTGTAAATTATATAATAAAACCATTGTTTTCATAAAGGCTGTTGCTATTTTAATATCATCTACAAGTACAATATAACTAGTACATATATGCATTGATTCAACAATTAATGAGATAGAAATAGGATTATCTTGTTTAGCAACTGAATTAAGGAAAGCTATTAACATTTTAGTTGTCTGGATAATAAATTCATTTTTCTTATATATTGTACAAATATATTCTTTAATTACTCTAAATACATTTACAATAGCTTTAATAATCCTTTCTTTTGAATTGGTTAATGCCGCTGGTAATTGAACACTTGATTCATACAAAATAGCCCAAACAATGTGATGTATACTTTTTTTATCAATTGTATTATCAATTCTAATTGCAACAACGTCAAAATCAACCGATGTCTTATCAACTGGAAGAACAAAAGAAAAATAAGTTCCAATAAAATCGAAAAGTAATGGGAAGTTTTCAGGTGAAAGCAAATCAAGTTTAACAAGAATTAGAATGATCTTGTTATATATTGGAATAAACTTTTCTTTTTCAACGAAGGTAAATGGAAGTAGTGATTCATGTAATGCAGTAATAAATACATGATAAATGGTTGGTGTTACAGGGAATTTTGATGTTAATAATTTGATAATACTTGATAGTAATGGTTCTAGACAGAGAGCAATACTTCCTACTGGATAATTAAGAAGTTTACTGATATTAGAAATGCATGAATATACTACTGTGTTATTTGGTGATGTTAATGTTCTGTTTAATGCTATAGTCAAATAATAAATATACTTTTCTTCAAAAGTGGTTCTTCGAATCATTGTAGCAAAGAAATTAATTAAGGCAGCTATTGCCTCAGCAACTGCTTTAGAGTATCTTGTGTGGTCTAATCGAATAATCACAGAAAAAAGATAATTTCCATATAATTTGAAAATAGAATTTCCATCAGGTCTATGTGGTGATTTACTTTCAACATGAACATCTGCAAGTAGATGCATTAGTGCTGAAAATCCTTCTACATATAATGATACAAGGTCGCAAGAATCAGTTTTAATATCAGCAACCTTTAAAAAATCAAGCCAAAATTGTAGTGCACGTTCAGGTGATAATTCAATAATATCAGATTCTCCATTACAAAGTAAGTGTGTCACCTTAACTGTTTTCTGTTCTTCAATTAAATAGTTAACATATCCTGTTTGAATAGCAACAGCAGTTGCACACCATTGTGTTGCAGCATTAGGGTTTAATCCCCATTTCTTACAATGTAAAAAGAAAATATCTAATATAGCATTTGGTTCAGTATGTAATACACATTCATGTAATGCATTAAATACTCTGTAAGTCATTCCCTCATAAGGACAATAATCACAAACATGATCTGCAATAATCATTAACGAACGGACACATGACCTT